TGTTTCCTCCCTGCTAGTTTCCCCCTGCGGATCGTCCCCACGTGGAGCTGAGAGGGCCATGTGTGCAAGCTGTGAGATGTGCAGTGAGACCAAGACAGACGGAAACAGCGAGGTCACTCCCTGTTCGGGGCCCATCACGATGTCATTTCACTGACTCATTCCTCCTTGTAGCTCCATGCAAAGTTGAGAACAGCAGATTCCCTTGGGTCAGTTGAAATAATCGGTGGATCATTTATATTTATGGGACTATACAGCAAGGGGAGTTTTACCTTGAAAAAATATTGGTATTTCCTTGCCATCTGAAAAAGATGTAGTGTTAAAAGTGCATCAAAAACAATTTTTTTTAAAGATTTTATCTGGGATCCCTGGGTGTTGCAGCGGTTTAGCGCCTGCCTTTGGCCCAGGGCACGATCCTGGAGACCCCGGATCGAGTCCCATGTCAGGCTCCCGGTGCATGGAGCCTGCTTCTCCCTCTGCCTGTGTCTCTGCCTCTCTCTCTCTCTCTCTGTGACTATCATAAATAAATAAAACTTAAAAAAAAAAAAACTTTAAAGATTTTATCTGAGAGAGAGCAGAGGGACAAGCAGACTCCCAGCTCAGTGGGGCTCAATCCCAGGACCCTGGGATCATGACCTGAGCCAAAGGAAGACACTTAACCGATTGAGCCACCCAGGTGCCCCTGCATTGGGATTTTTAAAAAGGGTTCTCTTGGTACAGGACTCAAGGTTGGCATAGAATTAGACATCATTTGGAAAGCACTCTTCCAACATCAAGCTGGCCAGAACACCCTCACCCAACGCCTCCTCAGCTGCTTCCTTTTCTTATCCCTGGGCTCTCACCTTGAATACCAGGTCCTCAGCTGAGCCTTTGCTGACCACTCAGTAGGCAGCCCCCATGCTGTGAGTGATTTCAGTGACCTATCCCCCTGCTAAACAAAAGCTCAGTGACAGCAGACAGTTACCTGGTAGTCCCAGGACCTCCATCAGGGCTTGGTTCAGAGCAGGGGGCACCACAACCATTTGCTGGGAAGAGTGCAAGCAGGCAGGCAAGCAAGCAGGGTATCAGAGGCTGCAGAATTAGGGCCCAAGAGGAGGGCCGGGCCGGTTCTTCACTATGGGGACACAGCAGGGGATAGTGGTCTTAGGAATGATCACAGCACATATGGGAGAAAGGGAAGGATCCTGAGTAAAAGAGTTCACTTTGTCCTTTCTAATAACCCAGCCATTTAGATGATTTGAGCATCCCAAGTTTAGGAGTAAAGTGATCGCCGTGTACCTCAAAGGAAGGAAAATGGGATCATGCCATGCTTGGTAGGAAGGCAGGAAGGCCTGAGGTGGGCAGAAATTTGATGTCATTAAATGGACACCCCTGCTTCCCCTCCCACCTCAAGCAAGCTTGCCTCTACTTCCCTAATGTGCTACTTCACCATCTCTGGACTCCTCAAGATGGTACCCAGGATGTCACCCTGCAGGGGGCTGACAGTCACAGCCAGAGTCTAACAGTAGCCAGTCAGCTTTTCCTACAGTTGGAAGAAATGAGAAACACAGAATTTTAGAAAGAAGAAATGTCTAGAGGAACAGTAAGAAGACACCCCAAATTGGCCTAGATCTGCACATGGAAGAAGACAAAACACTGACTGGCTCAGTTGGGGGAGCACGCGCCTCTTAATCTCGGGGAATAAGACAAAAACAAAGGCAGGACTTAGCCAGAAGACTGAGGCACAGCAGCTGGGTCTGACTGGGAGAAGCAATGTGACAAATGTGGTCCCCTTCCCTGTCAGATGGCCCAGGCTATCTCCGAGGTTCTGAGCGAAGGGCACTGCAGCAAAGTGCAGTGAATCACAGGCGCTATTTTTAATGTCTAGCTCCTTCCTGCTCCTCTCCGGGCCCTCTGCACCCACCCACCACCCCACCCCCGACTCTGGGGGGGGCAGTGAGACCCCCTGTCTACAGCAGCCACGGGGCAGCTGAGTGGGCAGCCACATAGCCACACACTAGAACCTACTCCACCCCCTGCCCCATCACAGACAGAGCCCGAGACAAGACTAAGCGAAGTCCTATGGAAAGAAGGGCTTTTCAGAAAAGGATATTTGGAAGTGTTGCTGTGCTTAGGTCATCTCTTGGCCAAAAAACATGTAAACATTGCTCCAACAGTCTTGGAGATGCTTTCATAACTTGCTCAAAACCTTCCAAGTGAAGAGTTTGAGGGCTTTAAAGTCCTTGGTTGAAAAAAAAACAAAAAACATAAAACCCTAATGTGTTTCGATTAGTTTGCATTAGTCTGACAGGAGGGAAGATGGAAATTTCCTAGCTGGAGTTCAGTAAACACCTGTGCGTAATTGGTGACTAAAAGTGAATTAATGACCAGCAGTGCCCTTCCTCCCTTTAGAATTTGGAAGGCATCTTTTTCCAGCGTTAAATCCAACGAGGCTGAACTTGGGAACTGACATCTGAATTATTGTGTCACAGTCTTAAAATTGTATTTTAAATTATCAGGTGTTTGTTGTTCCCCTTAGAAACACGGGAGGGGGTGCCTGGGTGGCTCAATCCATTAAGCATCTGACATCAGCTCAGGTCATGATCTCAGGGTCCCGGGATCAGACTGGACTGCACGTCGGGGGCTCACGCTCAGTGGGGTCTGCTTCTCCCTCTCCCTCTGCCCTTCTCCCCATCTCATGTGTGTGCTCTCATGCTTTCAAGTAACTAAAATCTTAAAAGAAAAAAACAACACTGGAGATCACTATTTTAATCATTAAAATTTTTTAACTATTTTGTTTCAACTCATTTAAATGCTCTACCTTATGATAAAACATAGTCATGTACAAAATGCTTTAATACGTATATAGCGGTGTAAATTCAAACTTTGCTAATAAGGGTTTACAACCAAAATGGTTGGTTATTCAGTTGAGAGATACAGAGGCAGATACTATGAAGCCTGGATACTAAGAATGTTCTTTTTCATCTTTTGTCATCCAAAGTTTCAAATTATCCAAAGAATAACCGTTGTGGTTGCTCCATAGCTTTTCCATTTCCCTATTCTTTCTAATCTTTTCCAAAGATGGCAGCAAAAAAAACCTGACATAAATGGAGAGTCAGCTTCTATAAAACTAAAGACAGGCGCCTGAGTGGGTCAGTCGGTTAAGCATCTGCCCTTTGGCTCAGGTCGTGATCCTGGGGTCCTGGGATCTGCCCCCACGGTGGGCGCTCTGCTCAGCGGGGAGCCTGCTTCTCCCTTACCCGCCCCCCTGCTTGTGTTCTCTCTGGCTGTCTCTCAAATAAATGGATAAAAATCTTAAAAGAAAAAAAGAAAAAAGAAAGAAGAATTTGCCTCTGCAAATCCTCACACAGTAACGTGAACTGGCTCTATGGATGGTTCTTTCCCTGGCTAAGTCCTACACAGGCTGTCTGTCCTGTATCCACAGGCTTGTGTCGCTAGTCCTCACTGCCCAGTGCCACCTCCTAATAGCGCTCGCTCGCTGCCACCTGCTACTGATGTAGCTGGCCTCACTACTGCTACTACCCGCCCTCCTGCAGAGGTGCTAAATGTAACAAGCACTTGGGTGACAATACTGGAAACAAGGTGCCAATACCTCAAATGACTTCACTGTGGGTTAGGTAATATTTACACTTTGACCCGTTGGTGTTCATGAGGCATTCATTCCCTTACCTGGGCTGAAAAAGCAAGAATCCGAAGTTTACAAGTAAAACAGACACGATCAAAGTGTGGGCATGGATTTATTGCAGGGACAATGTCTTTTGAGTAATGGTTATAAGATGTCCAAAATTCAACATTATTAAACATTCAGTAAAATATGTGGAAAAGAAGCCCTCAGATGTTAACTCCTCTAAGTTCTGGTACAACAGCTTGGGATAGAGCCTCCTGGGGGTTGGTTGTCTTGATTTGTGAGGAGAACTGCTGTCCCTTGACACAGAGAACAGGAGAGTCCCAAATGCTGGCTGTTAGGTACTGGGGATGGCACGTTTGTCACCCCCTGGAAACGCCTGGGGAGACTTAGCACGACTTCCCTTATGGAAATCCTTCCTTTCACCTCAGGCTGAAAGTGACACCTGCTGCCCAGAGAATCACGACAAGCCCCTGTGGACTAGAAGGGACTACGATGACCAAGGACAGAGTGGTCCTGCTGTCAGGAGGGACATGACATGCCCTCGGAGCTCCTCTCTCAGCCGACAGCCCATTCTGAGAGCATTTGTGGAGAGGCGTCACCTGGGGGCCAGAGGAGGCCACGCCAGCCAGGAGTGGCTGCTTGTTGAAGGCACGGGGTCTGGTCATCCAGTGGGATGAGAAGGGGGTCACTGTCGGGAGTTATATCCAAAACCCATTTCCTAGCTCTGAAAAACGGCGCTCAGCTGCCATATGTCGGATCGCGATTTGAGGCTGATCACATTTTTTTTTGAAAGTCCCAGAATCTCTGGCACCCGTTGACAATCCTGATGCACCCGCTACTTCTGCAAGGGAACGCGACTCCCAGGGGCGGCCACTCAGAGGGGCTCACGGCCGCCCTGCATCACACAGCAGCAAAAATAAATACACGGCTGTAGCATGGTGATGAAAACCCACAGGGAGATCAACGTCTCAGAGTCTGTGAATGCAGGGGGCTCGCTAGCAGCTCTGGGTTTGAGCCTAAAAACTGGTGATTGACCCGTGAAACGTTTATCTACAGTGACTCTGACTGATATTTAAGGACTAAGTAAAAAAAAAATGAAAACTATTCTTTTTAAAAGACAAACTTCATTAAATACCCAGAAGAGAGAGAAATTCAAGATGTCCTATTGGTTATCTGGGGCTTCTGGAACGAGAACAGACGGGGGCTGGCTGCAATCCCTGCCGGTGACCCGCAGGGTGCAGGCCCACAAACCGTGTGGCAGGGCGAGGGACCCACACTGGGGCCAGCGGGCTCCTCTCCAGCCCTTCTGCCTCTCGGATCCACAGGACTAACCGTCCTCTGCAAACACAGCGATACTGAAAAAGGAAACACCAGGGAAACATGAAGTGCATTTATTCACGTCCATGCCACCTACACCTACTGGGTACAGTAATCAGGACTGGAGAAGGGACAAATTGCAGCCTAAACAAAAACACTGGGACCTGGTCAGGCCCTGCGACTTGCAAGTTCTAGTCCGTGCCAGCGTGCAGGCTGGCAAGCCAGTGTCCTCCCTGAGAAGCACGCATCATGCCTTGTTCCTCCCTCTGGCATCTTCTGTCCCTCTCAGCTAAGGCCTGGCCAGTGCTGGGATGGGGCCCCGGTGTCTCCTCCGGAGCCGTGCTCCGGTGAGGAGCTGTCTCCCGCGCAGTCAGTGGCCCGCGGGCCCGGGCCCCGTGAGGTCAGGCTCCAGCCCGCGTGGCTCCGCCGCCACCTGCCGCCGAAGCTCCTCCACCGTCTGCAGCAGGGCTGACCTCTCCAGCTCCAAGGCAAGGGCGGCCTGCTTCAACTTGCTTTCGCTGGTCAGAAGCTTCTCAACGGTGGCCTCCAGGCTTTGGATCCTACCGTTGGCCACCTGGAGAATAAGAGAAGAGAGTGTGAACTGCGCAGCGGGAACCCGGGGGGACGGGGTGGGGGGGGGGTCTGCTGCACATGCCACCGTCCAGCCCTGGAGACCCTGCGGAGCCTGATTTTGGCAGAGACGAGTTTATCATCAGTTCTGGCCACACAGGACAACTCTACTTCCCAGGTTACCCCGTGGGAAGGCTGGGCCGGTCTGAGAGCCTCTGGCATTTTCCTTCCCTGCTGTGGCTACTCTGAGATGGTGGCTTCAGGGGGCACAGGGAGCCGATCCCCGTCACCGACGACGCCAGGGAGGACAGCTCTGATAGGGGCCAAGGATGCTTCACGAACAAGAGCTGGAGCGTCAGGGAACAAACGACTCCCACTGTTCCACGCCACCCAGACCTGGAGCTTTATTTACGACCACAGCATCGCCCGGCCTAGTTGCACAGACACCCACTCGCGTATGTGCAGACACGCTTCAGACCGACAGGCAAGTGGTTCCCAAGGGAAGGCCCCGGGGGCGCCCGCCGTCTCGTGCACCCGTCCTCTCCTTTCTCCTTAGGTGCAGAGAGGGCCACGTCAAGGGCACGGGCATCGCCCCGGCAGCACAGGTGGCCGAGCATCTGTGAAGGGGGCCACCCCCGCTCACTGAGACCAGCAGCACCCTCCCCCCGCCCAGTGTGCCTCCTCGGGCCCTGGCACCCGATGTCAGGTGGACAGAACTTTCTTCCAAGGTGCTTCTGTCTAGCAACTGGCCCTCGCCCTCCTCATCTACCCGGGCCGGCCTCTGGGCAGCCGGTGGGCTCTAGTGAGGCTGAGGGGCCTCCTGAGAAGGCCGCAGGGAGTCCGGCCTGTCCCCGAGGCCTTCCTGGCCCATCCCTCGGCTCACGCTGCTTGGCGCCACGCTCAGGTGGAGCCCAGCAAGCCGCTGCTCCATCTCGCCAATCCGGTCCAGCTCTCTACATGTTCCCCTTTATTTGGGGGCAGGGAAAATGGGAGTTTTTTTTCCCCCCTCTCCTTTACAAAACAAGGGAAGCAGGTTTTTGAACGAGACAACACTTGTGCCAGACAGACAACTCACGACTCAGAGTCTAGCTCTGGCTGCGCGGCTCAACGCTCAAAATAGAAGGAAGAAAAGGACTGAGATCCTAAGGGTGCCTGCTTTCCGGGCAGGGGTGGTCACGCTGAGGTGCGCACCTGCAAGCGCTCCTACCCATGGGCGAGCTCTGGGACACCCCCGCACCCAAAGGACTGTTCATTCTCGAGGCCCGTGGAACTCCCGTGTGCCACGCAGCTTAGTGGTGAGCGGTGCTGCACGGTCCTTTACGATTCTGCGTGAACGTCACTCTCAATGAGCCTGAAGCTCTTTCATGGAAAAAAGCACGTCTCATCCTGTGCGTGGGTCTGGCCTCCCACAGCACCTAGTTCACTGGCACTCGATGACTCACAGTGCTTCTTATAAAAAAAAAATGTACGTCCTTTATCATTTGGCACGTCTGGTAGGTCCACGCAAGCGTCTTCTATGTGCTGTTGGACAAGACAGGTGGAACACTGCTCTCCGGCTGCTACATAACACTGTGTGTTCAACGAGAAGATAACGTGGGCCCTTGGTATGTCTGACAACTCATGTGAACAGAACAAAGCTAGAAAACAGGTCAATTTTGATACTTTGGGAAAAACCCAAGATCTCTGGTTGGAAACTATTATATTTAACACCCATCCTTGGACTCTGAAAACTGTTAAAAAAAGGAAAAAGGCAAGGAGGTGTGAGTCTTACAGAACATATATAGTCTGGCTGCAAGACAGGAGCCCACGTGACTCCTGGAGGGTAACCGGGGAACGACCCTCAGGCACCCACAACTGACACAGTGGAACCCCTGCCCCAACTCTCGGCCAGCAGCAGGGTCTTCTGAATCTCCGTGGCCCCGGCCCCGGCAAGGCAAGGGCTCCACATACTGGTGGGCCGGCACAGCTGCAGTCTTGAATGGCACCCCCAGAAGTGCAGAGCCGCTTGGTGAAAGAGAGACCACTGCCAGGAGGATGTCTGTCATGACCGGTTACTGGCTGGTGCCTTTCTTGAGGAACGGAGGGAGCCGAGCAACTCTGCACGGCTTCCTCTCCTCACGGAAGGGGTATGCTATCACAGAAGCCACGTGAAGTTTTGTGCACCCTTTACCACAAAAGGGTCACATGGGCATCAGCCCAGTAAACTGACCCTTTTATTTCCGTACTATCTTCATGAGCCAAATGCTTCAAATGCAAGTCTGAGCTTTGTCAGAAATGCTCCTATCAGGTTCTATTTCAGAGACCTACTGTTTGGAAGCCACTTAAAACCACCACCTCTGCTACAGACCGTTAAAGACCAGATAAGGCTGTATGTCCTCGTGAGCCTCCCCTTTGGGGGACAGCTGAGACACCCTGGAGACACTGTTGTACACAGGCATATTTTCAGGTGGGACATCTCAGTCTTAGGGGGAAAAAAGCTAAAATTCAGAATGTGCTTGGTAGTTGGGACTGGTCAGGGAAAGCATTTTTCTTTGTTCCTCTACAGTAAATAGCCACTAGGTCTCCTGGGATAAATCCCTGCTGGGAGGAATGCATTTTGGACAAGGGTTGATTTATTAAGCTCTCAAACGCTGGCCTTTCTCGTATCACTGCCAAGCTTGTGTCTGCAAAGCGGCAACTTTCTATGGAGAAAAATAAGAGGCTTAGGTCAGGCTAGAAAGCTTATTCTAAGGACAGCCCAGGAACACCATAAAATACGGACTTTGGGGACAAATATGTATTTGTCCTTGCAGCGACTCAAAAATTTAAATCCCCCCGAAACAATCCCTTAACATTAACAGCATTCCCACCCACTTATGGCATTTGAAAGAGCAGACTATATATTACTTTATCCTATTTGATTGGTGAAGGAGCTGTGCTAAGCAGTCAGGGACTCTGTGTCATGCAGGGGAGGGAATGGGGACGGAGCAGGTCAGCAGTCTGCCCGCATGACAGTGGGGTAGTGACAACCCTGGATCTGGCAAGAGCTGATCTACATCCCCAGGCTCTCCCCAACTCACCATTCTGTATGCATGGCCTGTTTGCCTTCCTACCAGATGTCCTCATGCACATTTTTCCATGTTAAAATGGAAGCTGCTAGAGGGGAGAACTATGTCCCTCTTAATCAAACTTTCCTATTTGCAGTAAGGACTCACACATCATGACCATAGGCTCTGGCTTATTTTGTTAGGTAGAGCTCTGTGGGACTCCCCTCCCCAAACCTTCCTCCAGCGACCTGGCTGGTTTCGCTCACAGTAGCCCAAGCCTTTGATTCTCTGGTTATTACTCAAAGCACAATTGCTGGCGTTCAGCGAACAGTCCCCTCAGCATCCTGGACCCCCAGTTCCCCGCTGGGCTTCTCTCCTAAAAAGGGTTAAAGTGCAGGGTCAGCCGCTCAGAAAGTTCCAGGACTGTCTGACCTCAGCGGAGGATAATCTGAATGCTCCCTAATAAAAAGGACCAATTCTCCTGGGATACCTTTGATCCCAACTATAAACAGACCGGTTGGGGGGCCGAGGGGGAGAAAGGTCCCGCGGTCATGGGAAAGCCCAGGCCGCTGGTGCTCCGGTGCGCTAATGATCTCCCACGAGCAGCGGGTGCAGGAAGCAGCTTCATAAATATGCTCTACCTGCAGTTGTTCAAGCAGGTCAAGGTTCTGTTTGCGCAAGCTGCTGTTGGTCTTCTCCAACTTGTCCATTCTTTGGTTGTCACTGAGAGGAGAGGAATCGATAAGTTCTTCTTGAAGCACGTGGTACTCAACTTCATAGGCTTGTAACTGTTTCGAGATATCCATCTCAAATACCTGTTATATACAGAAAAGTCGTCAGGCCCTGGAAATGAGAAAAATCACACAGCCGCGTGCGCGGCCACGCCAACGAGCATCCACCACGCACCTACGCCATGCCCCATGCCGTCGGTGATGGATAAGGCAAACTCGCATTGAAAAGGGAACAATCCTAATTGGGAAGAAAGGACAGAGGCGGCACTGAGAAATAAACCTAAGGTAGCAATGGGTCTGGGTCTCTGATACTCCTCTTTCCAAAAGCCAGAGAACCTTACTTTCTCAAAGGCTTTTTATAAAAATCTATTTTTCTTATTTCAGTGCCGATTTCCTTATTCTCCGGAAATTCTATTATGTTAGACACATCAGCCACAGGTCAAGGGGTGGTGGTGGTGGGGGGGGAACAAAACAAAACAAAAGAATCATAGCTCCATTTGCCCAGTCACCGAGTCAAAGTTTAATTATAGTTCAGTTGGGTTTTTAGAGTTACAAGAACAGCTAAGTAATGGAACTGTTTACTAAAAAACCCTCCTTTGCACATAAGATATGCAGAAATGAGCCAAAACCCAAATGTCGCCTACACAGATGAGTGAACACGAAACAATGCCTTCCTGCCCATAATAGTAACAGTGATCAAAAAACCACCCGTGTGAAAAACAGCCCCAAAGTGCACAAGTGAGTTCTTGGTGTTTGTACTTTCTCTGAGTGAGCTGTAGGGAAGCGGTGCTGAAGAGGGGGTCAGGAGTGGCCACTGCCTCCCCCACAGGCTGTCTCTGTGGGATCACCCCATAGGCCGTGGCTCAGCACAGGAGCAAAGTCCCAGAGCGGCTCTGTGTGCGGGCCTGAGCATTCGGTCATGCTGGCACCACACACCCAAGGCCAGCACCTCAGGACACACATGGAGAGGATGCAGTTGGACCTTACGAGAGCACAAAGGAACTCTTCACTGCCTCTCCTGAAAAACTAACTCCCAACACAGTGAAAATCAATGAAAAACTCATTTTTCCCCAATGGCGCCCCATAATCACTCAAACATGGATGAACCCTATCTTCCCTAAAATCGATATTCAAGAACCACGTTTACTTTCTCACCATTCCCAACAATCTTCTCTGCCTTCAGATTAACTTTTCAGCTTCCTGCTTTTCAACTGAATTCAATGGACAAGACCAATTAGGCACAAAGGTCATTCTATGCCGAAAAGCAAATACGCATTGTCCTCGTGGTGTGTGTGCGTGTGAAAGCTTGCCGTATGGATGGGAATCTCTGCTGGCCCTCAGTGGCTGTGGGGTCAGCGGGGATTATCATCTCTGTATCACAGTCAGCTAACTGACTCAGGTCTCAAATCAGGGCTCCACTGGCCATGCCCTGAATGACCTTGAGCAAATAACTTGACTTCTCCTGGACTCGGTTCCTGGCCCCCGACAGGGGGTGAGAGCACCCAGCTCCCAGCATCACCGTGGGCATTACTTGTGGAAGTTCCCAGCACACACCTGGCAAGGTGAATAGGTGCTCACTTAGCTAAGGAAGCCGCTTCCAAGCGCTTGTCATGAAACCCTCACATGCAACTTTGTGCTTCAGCAAAATTACAAAGGACGCCACATCACGGAACTTCTGAATAGCTCAAACACAGTGAAAACCACAAACATTAAAACCGAGATTGCCGTGGCGCTGGTGTACAATTATAAATACGAGGCCCAACAGATATCGTGCAGTTGCTTTTTTCTTCCACAGAGATTTGTTTTTAAATGAGCTACTAATCTGGAAAACGTGGGAACAAAATCTGTGGCCTTTAATAGATTGATGACCTGCTAAGGTGAATGGCTCTCAGCTGTGCCCAAAGCCGCAGGCGCTCTCAGGACTCCCATCCTTTTCCAGGAACCATCCTGGGTCATGATCATCGCTGCTTAATTGCATCGTTATCTCCTGGCTCCTGAAACACCGAGAGCCCTTGATTTTGCAGTTGTGCCCTAGAACTGATCCCATAGCATGGCTGTACGTGGCTGGTGGAGAAAGAAGGGCCCAGGTCCTCAAATGATGCTTTTCCGAGTTGCTATCTATGCTTCCTGACCAGAATGACAAATGGCTTCATTATTCTATCTACTTGACGTGCCGTAACCATGTTAATTCATTCATCATGTGCTAGATGTCTGGTTAACTTGCAAAGTATCTAACTCTACACATCCTCGTACATATGGCTTTTCCCATATTTTGGATTATTTCCTAAGGATACATTCCAAGAAATGGGATCACCGAGTCAAAGGGTATGAATATTTTACTGGCTCGTGATACACATCGCCAAACTGCTTCCCAAATGGGAATAATCAACGCACGATGCCATTAACAACAACATACCAACGTGCCAGGGATAGTATATATACCCTTGGCACTGGCCTCAATACTTTTCATTTTGTTAATCAAGTTCGTAGAGCATTATATGTCATTCAAATTATGCATGAAGCAAAGTATTTTCCCAGATATTTGTTTACTAGATGGAGCTCCTCTTTAGTGAATCGTCTATGTTCTTGGCTCATTTGCTATTGGGAGACCCAGAGTTCCTCTTTGCAGTCAGTCGTGGACACTCTGTAAAATGGAACCATTAACCCTGACGTCTGCAGAACTGGCCACATACTTTCCACCTTCCCAGCCTCCAGGCCCTTCCCCGACCAGTCCGTCCATCTCAGCGGTGGACCAAGGGCTGGATAGCGGAGCAGTGTGTCCGGGTGTCAGCAACCAGGGCTACAGGGCCTGTAGTGAATTTAAAAATAAGAAACCTAACTAAAAACTGGTCTGTTTTTTATTATCACCACATGCAAGCAATTCTAAACAATACCAGTGGTAAAATATTCCTCCTCAGTGTACCCCACCCTTTTGGTATGGCACTGATTGGCCTTTGAAACAAGTACTTGCTTTCTTTTTTTTTCTTTTTTGAAAGATTTTATTTATATATTCATGAGAGACACAGAGAGAGAGAGGCAGAGACACAGACAGAGGGAGAAGCAGGCTCCACGCAGGGAGCCCGACGTGGGACTCGATCCCGGGTCTCCAGGATCAGGCCCTGGACTGAAGGCGGCGCTAAACCGCTGGGCCACCAGGGCTACCCAAGTCCTTGTTTTCAACAGTGCAGACTGCCCGAGTGGTGAGGGCTCCTCCCCGCGCAGAAGAGGCCGTCTCAATGCTGGGATTTGGAGGAGTGTCTTCTGAACAAAGGAACCTTGTTAAGATTCTGGTTTCTAGCCTACAAGCTCAACTAGAACAGGGAATTGTCTAGTGTGTTTTCAATGAAGCTGCCCATAGCAGAGCTTTTCAAATGTTCCAGTGTGTGTGAATCCCCAGGGGATCTTGTTAAAATGCAGATTCTGACTCAGCAGGTCTGGGGTGAGGCCCCAGATTCCGCATTTCTGACAAGTTCCTACAGGATACCAGGACAGGTGCGGGTCTGGGGCCACACTGCGAACGCAGCCCCAAGGACACTGAAAGCAGGCTCTTTGCTCTGTCTCCTGAAGTCCCCCTCCAACTCTGGCCTTCTTCTTCACACTGAACTGAGAGGCAGAGGCAGACAGCACTCACCGTGACAAGCATACCAACCTGACCTCCTTCTCTTCATTTCTGTTTATTCCCAGGGCTTCCCCCTTCTTGGGGCAGAGGACTTTTATGGCTCATATTCAACTAACAGTTAAGTCAAACTGAGGAACTGCCACAGAGATTTCAGAGGCCCTTCTTCTCCTGCCCTGGCCTCTTGTCAACTCTGGACCTGCCCTGCTGTGGCTGGCTGCTCCCAGCCTGCCCACGCCGAGCCAAAGCCACAGAGCCCTGTCCTTAGCTACCTTCTCTCCCACCCTGGATGCAGGCTGTGTCCCCGCTGCTCGAGCGGAAGGCACCCAATGAAATGGAGCCAGAGCTATCAAGAGGACCGTCCAGACTCTGCCCATTCATATACATGACCTGTCGTGTGCAATGAATACATCTGTCACCTTCACCCTGTGGGTCCCGAGATTTGAGCCTGAGGGCCCTCTAAGGCTGCCGAGGCATTGCACCGGCCCTCAGGCCTCATCTCCGGGTAGGACTTGGAAATGAGAGCACCCTCTAAGTAGGTGGGAGAGGGGCAGTGAGCCTGACAGACGTCAAGTTCCAGATGGGAAGCATGGGAGGGGGAGGGCAGAGAGCTGCCTGGCATCCTAAGGGCTGCCCATCAAGACTTTTGGCAGGATGAAAACCTGGGCCCCAAAATGTAGATTTTGAATTCCCTACACAGCTGCTCCCAATCCACAACCACCCTTCCCTTCATAGCTCAACGCAGAGGCATCTAGAATTTCTCTCTATTCTCACTCCTGTGCCTGTGATCAGAAATCAGCAGAGTACTGCTTGTGGACTCAACCTGTCCCACTGTATGTGTTTTAAATACAGTTTTATTGCAGCACAGTTGCTTCATTCATGTACATTATTATCTGGTTGCCTTTGTGCTGCAAAGGCAGAGTGGAGTGACTGCCACAGAGCCCTTCTGGCCCACCGAGCCTGAGACTTCCTACCTGCCCACTGAAGAAAACGTGTGCTGACCCCTGTTCTTAGCTCATTCTTTGGACTCCGCTGAATACAACCCTCTCAATTCCCAATCAGCAGTGCACACTCCACCAGCCTGGCTCCCATATGCCCTTGCACAAGCACCACTGTGGCTCCTACCACACTTGTAATTACTGGATTACATGCTCGTTTTCTGCACAGGATGCGCTCTGGTGTCAGAGACACATTACATTCTTGGCTCTGCCACTGTAAACAGGGTGTTGGGCAGGATACTCTCCCCATGACCAGGTTCCCCACCTATAAAAATGGGGATTATAATACACAACCCAGGGTTGTTAAGGAGTCAATGGCATAAAGAATGCCAAGTTTGACAGTTGCCTGAAACAAATCAGTATACACACACACACACACACACACAACTGTTCTTTCTCCATGCTGTGTCCATTTTCTATTCTTCCAACATTTAAAGAGAACCTGGTAAGTTCTCTTTACAGAAAAGGGAGGAGAAAATGAGACTCTTCTCTGGGGCTCAATATCCAGCAGGTAAACTGAATGTCAGCTGAGACTGCCTGCCTTAAAGCCAGGTCCCAGGGTCAAGGCACTCACTGGGCATGGACTTTAGGTAACCGAGGCTCTCTGTGTTTGCCCCAATGGCCATAAAATATAAGCATATACAATGAAAGCTCTGAAAAGGGATCAGTGCACATAAGTGCCAAACACTAAAGAATCAAAAGGGCAGAGGCTTCAGTATCAACATACAGGTAAAATACAGGAAAAACTGTAACTAAACGATACCCGGAGGCCCTCGGCGGTGCCGAGTAGCTGCCAACTCACTCTGAGGCAAGAGAAGCCCTATCACCTCACTCAGCAGCAGGGTGGCTGCAGGCCAATGAGTCTATCTCTTTGTGCCCTACGCTCCTCCTGGGTTAAAACCACCTATCCTCTCAGGAATGCCATCATGGTTAAATGACATCATGGGCACATGTAGAGTCACACAGAACCTGGCAGAAAGTAGGGCCTGAACAAGCCAAGGCGATTCACATTGAGAGAAACGTGCCAGGGAAGCAAAACGCAGAGGGCCTATCAATTAACTAAAAACGAAAGTGCAGAGTAAAAAAGAAGTGCCCTTTCTGAAGCACAGGGATAGGAAATGCGCGGAGACCCAGAGTCACACGGGCTCACACCTGCTTCTTTCTCTGTGCTCACCACTGAAGGAGGGGCAGCAAATGAAACCACAAACACTGCACCGGGGCAGTCCGTCGGAATCACCCGATTTCTCAGGACTATCAAAATTCCTCAGAATAAGGATTTGTTTTAAAAAACTAGCTTTGTTTCGCTACTTGTTTTTACCCAACTGCTCTATGTTTTCACTGTATTTGGAGCAGGTGAGGTGAATTATAGGCTTAGGAGAGGCCTGATGGCAGGCCCCAATGGAGAAACCCCTTCCAGAGCATTCTAAGCCACCTAGCCCCTGGACATTAACAGCAGTGTCCCACCCTCCACTAAATATCACAGTTCTTTAGAGTCAGCAAACGTTACTAGAAGTTTCTTCTTTGTACAGAGTCAAATTCTGCTCTCACTCTTAAATCAGACCATTGAACAACTGATCTAGTCATAATTCTGGCTCAATTCACCCTTGCCCTTAACATTTCAGAGTAACGATTCTCCTGCCTACAGAAACCAGGGGTGCTGAAGCCACAGATGTGGAACTGAATTCTATTTTAAAAACCACATCACGGAACAAGCCTCTAGAATATATATTTTCCTATCACAATTTTGCAACCAAAGGGTCATTTTGAGAAATTCCAAATACTACAACGCAGCAGAAAAACAAAACAAACAAACAAAAAAAACAAAGCACTGATACCTTAAGAGCTTACACCGAATAGCACATGTATTTCAGAAGAATAACTAGGGGTGAAGCCTCTTAATTTTAAGAAACTTCTGATTACCTCTGTTGGTTATCACACCTGAACATGGCCACCAGTTTCCACATGGCACGGTCCCATCACATTGCCAACATGCACACACTCATACACGCACTTCATCCTGGAACACATATTTGGCAACGTGCTTCCTACTTGCCGGGTGTCACTCAATATGCTGCCCAGGATGCAAAATGGTAGGAAGTAGGTCCCGATCAAAAGAAAATTAAGCTCTCCAAATCCAGGGTGGCATAAGCCTTCGGAAGGTCAGACTGAATCATACCTGACTGATGGTCTTTTCCATTTGTACCAAGCCCAGGTTGGGGAGGGTGTTTTTTATAAAGTCAACTATGGTCTCTAGGTTTTCATGTTGCAGAATCAAGGGCTTATGGCTTCCCAACAGACTTAATGCCACTTTAAACATGACCTCTGATCCCTGAAGAAAGATCATATCTGGGAAAACACAGAAATGCAGAAAGTTAAATCAGACCAGTTACTGATGAAATAACATTGCATTTTCTTGTCTATACATCAGAGCAGGATGGTGGGAAATGCAAGCCCAAATTGCAAACTTTATTTCCTTTTTAAGTGCCTGATATTTCAGGTAAGCTTGTCAAGACAATATTGCAAATAATAAAAGAAATACAAAAAAATAAAAAAATAAAAGAAATACAGATAAATGTACTGTTAAGATTTTGTCACAGGTTCAGAAAAATCTTTTCTGTTATTGTTATAAAAATATATGAAACTTAAACATGCCTCAGAAGTTTAAAAAAACTTTTTATTATGCTATTTTTCTAGAAATGCTCTGGGATTTTGAAGGAGTTACTAAAACATACTTTTATGAGTAAAACTGAAAGATTTTTAGATATACAACATCAGAAATTAAGACAAAGTAAAAAAAATTGCACCTTTTTCCTCTGTTTTGAAATAAGGAATTGAATTAAAAGATCTCTAAAATCTGCATATTGTCTGCAGAGCTACAGAAGTACATTATTAAATACTTCCGAGTGTACTGGATTTTAGCCCAACAATACAGTAAAAGACATCTTCCTTCAGAGAAATTCAAAGAACTGTGTCAGAGTTATCTTCTAGTTCTTGCCATAGATTTTTCTTTCCTTTTTTTTAAAAAAGATTTTATTTATTTATTCATGAGACACAGAGAGAGAGGCAGAGATGCAGACAGAGGGAGAAGCAGGCCCTATGCAGGGAGCTGGATGTGGGACTCAATCCCAGGACTCCAGGATCACGTTCTGAGCCAAAGGCAGACGCTCAACCACTGAACCATCCAGGCGTCCCTCCATAGATTTTTCTTAGAACAGCTGGCCAGTGGTAGCAACCCCTACACTGACTTCACACCGCGAGAGGGAGGGCAAGTGGCCAGGCAATTGGGCGGGCAGCTGCCCGCCCACCCCCCCAGCTCCCCCACCCCACAGAGCTGAAGCCACCTGACAAAGAGTCCAATTGTTCCAGTGCCAGAGCACACCCCTAGCAACTAATTGTTTGATGACTAAATTCAGGCACATTACCTAACAACTGGAATTAAAAATACAAGAAAAAATATATAATTCTAAAGATGAGAGCACACATCTAGTTAGAGGCAACTGTCAACATGGGGGAGGGCTGCAGGATAACAGAGAGACTAAGAAGTCCTTTTCATCAGGTCCTGGAATGAGAGGAAGAGTCGCTCCCCTCCCCCCCCCAGCACTGGGCCCCTCTAGGTGGTTTAGTTTGAGGATGCATAAAAGCCATTAGGAAACAGAAAAGGCTGGAAGCTGCCATGCATGTGGGGAAGGGGTCTGCATCGGAATGGTTTGTGGACAGAGCACAGGACAGACCTTAGGCGCCAGCCGGCCAGGTTGGCCCTGGTGATACTCTGTGACCCTCCCACGGCCTCAGCCACACCAGCAGCCTCGGTGCCAGGTGGGTGCTCCCCATCTCTCTCTGCGAGCTCAGGGCCCTACGGTTGCCACAAGACAACACAAGCGCTCGCAGTTGGGAGGGCCCCACGAGGCTGGAAAGGTCCAAGGGTGGCCACCTTCTCACGTGTGGCAGCAGAGGCTGGGTAGATAAATTAGAGAACTGGTTGTATCTTTGAAATCCGGGCTTTTTAGGGGCAGTGGTATGTTAATCAAGACAGCCCTATGTTAGAATATTCTTGTGAAATGTCTGGTTTCTGAAATACACCTCTGTAATTCATCACTACGGACAATAAAAAAGATCCCAAACAGTGTTATAACTAAGACGTGTTTTTAAAAAGAAGTATTTCCCCAAACAAGGCAAACTTGAAGCTTCTGTGGTTCAGACAGCAAAACTTCCTTTCAATAGATCAACACTCGTTGCTGAACAAATACTGATAGCATCTATCAGAATAAATACCAAGTTTTCTGTGCAAGGGTCCTGGGAGAGGACTGCACGCCGGACCACCTGCCATGGTGCAGTGTCTTCAGTCTCTGAGACTCCTCCCTTACAATGGGGCAAAGCACCTCGACTAAGCCAATTAAGATAAATAATGATCGGGGAGGTTTTACGAGCACAATCAAATATGCAATCCATATCAGCTATCTCTTAAGGCTGACAACAGGTCTTCCAAGTCTTATTCTGTTAGGATCTTGGAGTTATTGTTGTTTGGTGGGGGGGGGGGGGTACAGAGGGAGAGAGAGAATCCTAATTAAGCAGGCTCCACACCCAGCATGGAGGCAGATGTGGGACTCAATCTCATGACCTTGAGATTATGACCTGAGCCGAAATCAAGATTCAGACATTTAACCAACTGAGCCGCCCAGGCACCCCAGGATCTTAGTTTTTATAACAAATCTACTCAGCAGAGTGCTGCCTAGCACTCTAAACTCAGACTTTTCTGGTCTGCACGAAGAAAACAAAACAAAAAAAAGTTAGGAGAGGTGGGTTTTTGGTTTTTTTTTTTTTTAAACACTCTTTGAAAATATAGCCCTGGATATATTTGTCTCATTGGGCCTCTCTGTATTTAATGCTGTTCTTTCCTAACGCTGTGCCCAGTGGCTTAAGAGCACTCTTCTCCCTGCTGAGGCGTGTCTCTCATTTAAGTCAGCAAGCATTCACTGGGCATCTAATACTTGCCAGGTTTTATATCAAGCACCAGAGACCCAGCCATGAACAAAAGCATAAAGAGCAAACTGCAGAGATGCTGAAAGCTGCTGGTGTGATGGAGTTATGCCCAGGGGTTATGAGAACAAAAGGGTCGGAAAACATTAAGGAAAGGTGGCTGCCAAATCCAATCTTGAAGAACCAACAGGCAAGGAGGGGTACCAGCTGGGTGGCTCAGTCCATTAAGCATCTGCCTTCAGCTCAGGTCAGGATCCCAGGGTCCTGGGATCAGCCCAGCTTCGGGCCCCCTGCTCGGCGGGGAGCCTGCTTCTCTTTCCCCCTCTGCCTGCTGCTCCCCCTGCTTGTGCTTTGTCAAATAAATAAAATCTAAAAAAAAAAGAAAAGAAAAGAAAAGAAAGAAACCTGCTAGGTAAGAAGTCAGGAAGGAAGGAAGAGAAAAAGAAGGTGTAAATGCCCAGAGGTGTGAAAACAGCACAGCACAAATGGGAGCCTGAAGAGGGACCCTGTGGGGTACAGGGTGGGGCCAGGTCAAGGAGGGCTCTCCATCCCCAACACCAGCATTCTAACTCTACCCAGAGCACAGCAAGGGTCACCCAAGGCTTTCCGTTCCTTTTTTTCTGAGCGGGTCACTGCACTAGTAAGGAGATGATGTTAATGAGATCCAGTATGAGTATGATCCTTGCAAAGGCTATTTAGCTTCAGAGAAAAGCCACCACAGGTAAGATCACACTGACTCCCACCAGCAGACTCACAGGTATCGGCTGCCAGCTGCAAGATGCTCATCTAGCATGCCTGGAGGCCCAAGCCAGGTGCCATCCTTCTGAGGTCAAGCTGGCCAGCTGTCCCCACTACTCAGGCTGGGGGAGCTCAGCCCCAGAAGCCTGTCAGCCTGGGGAGGCCTCAAATAAGGAGCTCATCTGGGCGAACAAGGAAGGAATGTGCCTGAAGGGTTAAAGGGAGAACCCCGCCTTCCCTCCCCAGCCCCAAAGTCTGGCTTGGGGGTAGGGGCTTCTAATTTATTTGACTAGTCTTCGGGCCATATCACTACCTTTTTCTCTCTCCCTCTGGAAATTCTAAAACTTAAATAATTTTTAAATAATAATAAAGAAAAATGTCACCTAGAAACACACTGCTCCCACCCAATTATTTTCACTTTTGTCTATTTTTCAATCCTTATACATTTACATTCTGGAAATTAAAAAAAAAAACCCAAAAAACCTCCTTGGAAAAGTGAGTTTATTTCCTGCATCTAAAAATCACCGCACAAGAAAGTGAACTGCCGGAGCCACCCCAGTGGCCCCGCAGAAGCCCTGCTCACCACCCTGCAGCCAACTTCCCTTCTCTCCAGTTTCAAGCCGCTCAGAGATGGGCGAAGGGTTTTATCAAGCAGGAAGGAAAGGGAACCTGAAATTCGTCAGACTCCACCACTTGTGCAGACTGTTCGCTGAGAATGATGCAAATAACTCCTTTCCTTTGAAGACACTTCAGCAGGCCTGTTACTGTGTTGACACGTATCGGAATTACTTGGAACGCCCCGTGACATAAAGGTGCAGTTTTCCTACAGGGGGAACCATCCATGCCAAGCACATGGCCAGTGAAGCAAACCTATCCTGCATCTTCTGGTCCAGCCACCTTTGTCTTTGTCAAGGGCAACCCCTCTCCTCAACTCTCTTGTAGGAGGCAGGGTCCCCCAGGTGTGAGAGCCCCACCTTCCTACCAGAACCAGGGGGGAGGAAAAGGAAGGATGATGGCAGACCCGTGGCAGAAATACAGCGCAGATTTTCTAAAAACTCACTTCCCTGCCACTGCATCAGGTTCCCTGGGGGAGAACTTTCTTCCTGGCCATTTAAACCATCTTGTTTTTTTCTAAGTCTATTTTAGTCCTAAAGCCTCTCTGAATCCCTATGTTACAGGTGGCTTCTGTGTTTTTTGCCAAACCCTTCCTTTCTACACTCCCTCATCTACTTGGCAGCACAGCCTATAGCAAACATCAGGAGCCTCATACCATATAGCCGCCTCCTCCATCAGGAGCAAGCCAGGTCCTATTTTTCAGATTTTTCCCCCCCAAAGGTAGGTGTGATCTGAAAGTGAACAGAGCAAGCATCTCTCCCAGGACCCCTCTAGGCCCGAGCTAGACACATACAGGAGGAGGCTATTTTACATTCTGTGACACCCAATCAGAAGGGCTGACATTCAGGAAGTGTGATCATCACGTGAAGGTTAAGGCACACGCATCACTGGCTGGCGTTCCTCCAAGGAGCATATACTTAATTCGAAGTAACCTGGTAATTAATATATGAGCTATGCCGTCCGCAAGCTGAGAATCCTGTACTTACATATGAAATGGTGAACATGTGACAAAGGTCCATTTGTTTTGAAGGGTTTATTCAGGCCTAAAGGCTTACAATGAAATGGGCTTCAGGCCAAAATAGACGACTGTGTATGAATGGCAGGTTCGGGGATTTAAAACTAAGCTATCCACCATCACGGAGCTAAACGCACACAGTTCGAGTCGCCAATGCTATATACAGAAGTGGGTTTTTAAAAAACCTTTCTGTGGAGCCTACTAATAAAATGGTTTGGTTTTAAGTACTGATAGATGGACTAGATTGTGCAAAGCAAAACAAAAACGAAAACCAACAGTTTTTACAAAATGACATCACGCACAGTGCTGCCTTGAGTCCCACTTCCTGCCGAGGATCTGAGGAGCCTCAGCCAGCTGGACACGAACCCACTTAGTACAGCAGGGGTCTGTGGGACCTGGGAGTTACAGACACTGGCATCTTTATGCATGATGTAGAAGAGCCTCCGAGACTCACCACTGATTATGTAATAGAAGTATCCTGCTTTTGCCGGCTTTAGCTTCTAATTTATGAAGTCGTCAGGATGCGCTTTAGAGTCGCGAATATTCTCTAACGGGAGGGCTGGCATTTCCAAAGCAGAGTTTGTTGCTCGTGCCTCTTGTGCCAGGAAAGGCTCTTTCCTGAGTTCTGAGTGGCCCTGGCGCCCCAGAGCTACCTGCAAGGCAGCAGCCCAAGGCTGGGGTGCTGGGCAGTGATCCCTCCATGCTGACCCACCCATGGGAGTCCCCTTTGTGGAATTTTTTCTCACAAATGCTGTAATTTGATGCTCGAACTATTTTCAAACCATTAACACCAATTCCTCCCCTCCCACTTCTTTCAATCGTCACTCCTCTCTCCTACCCTGTCTGAAAAATACACTAAAAAATCAGGAGAAAAAGTAGATTAATGATTTTTTCATTTCCAGAGTAAGAAAAGTTAAAAAAAAAAAAAAAGACATTTGTGGCAAGAAAGACTTCAGCCTACAGCTAGAGATTTTTTTTTTTTTAATTTTTATGATAGTCACAGAGAGAGAGAGAGAGAGAGAGAGAGAGGCAGAGACACAGGCAGAGGGAGAAGCAGGCTCCATGCACCGGGAGCCCGATGTGGGATTTGATCCCGCGTCTCCAGGATCGTGCCCTGGGCCAAAGGCAGGCGCCAAACCGCTGTGCCACCCAGTGATCCCTACAGCTAGAGATCTTATGATTTGGGTGACTCTTGTTAGTAAACTGAAGCAGACAATTTTCACGCTTTTTTTTGTTTTTACCTTTTAATTATTTTCTTCTTAATCTATGGTATAAAACCCTCATGGAATCTCATTAATGATTTATTAAAACCAGGAGACCTTTTTTTAGTATCTCTTTTTTTCAAAGGACTTTTTTTTTCCCAATGATTTTTTTTAAGGGACAGAGTGTAAGAATCATATGGGGAGGGAGTTATGCAAAAGGGGATGGGGGTAGTGAATAGTTTAAGAATACAAACTTTTCTAGTAGAAACAGAGTCGGTCTTACTCTTCTAGTAAAGCCCAATGGAACATTCTTCAGAAGTTCTTGTGGATAGGAGTAAGAATAAGTCTAGCACGCTGGGGGAAAGATGAGTGAAGACCAGCTCAGTCCCCACTTATGTTAAAAAGCAAATTTCAGGATTTCTAGATTTTGGATCTACAAATCTGTCTTTCCCAAGCAGGCCAAAGGAATGCTCTCTCAATGGTTCTGGACACACCTGCTCCCTTTGAGATGTTCTCTAATTCTAGAAGCAAATCTGAGAAAAGTATGAGATTACAGATTTTTAAACTACAAGGTGACTGGACATCAGTGACACCTTAAAAACATTCGATGTGTGATGATTATCAATTTCCTAAAAACCTTCTAGTAAAAAAAAATTAAATAATTAAAAAGAATCTGAATTGTCAAAATGATTCTTTCACTCTGAAGCAGGGAAAACCCCCTGCAGGAACTGCCTGTGCTCACAGTGGTCACTTGGCTCCTGGAGGGCAAGCGATGTGCTTACCATGCAAACACCCGCTTAACTCTGACAGAGACAATCTTGGCAAAAATTACATCAAGAAAGTAGGAGATGGTGTGACATGTGAACCGCCTATGGCCACAGTGGGGCACACAAGCGGAAGGGGCTGTGGAGTTTGGGAAGATGAGGTGGGGGGAGGTGGGGGGCCGTGAGGGTGGTCCAGTGAGTCATCAGCACAGAGGGGTCTATCAAGAGTGAGCTAGCAGAGGAAATGAAAAGCCAAGGGCAGAGGAAGAAGAGAAATGGGAAAAGGAGATATGAAGGGACTCGAGAAAGAACAGCAGCCCACAAGTCATCAGTTGAAAAGTTTTAAGGAGCCATCATCAATGAAGTCTCAGGTCAGAGAGGTTGAGGAAGACTATTCATGAGAGACACATGCCTGGAATACAGGCATAGGGCCCCCTGGCCAAGTCTTTGAAGATGTCTGCTCTGGGGAGAGCCTGGTAGTGGGGGAAAAGGGTCTACACCCCACCAGATGGTGGCATCCAGGGAAGCCCAAAGAGCATCAGAGGTGAAGCTGGTCTTGAAGTTCACAAAACCCAGTGCTGACTAGATTCAGAATGTCAACCACCACCCTGTTCTTGTAGAAGATACAGGTATAAAAGGGGACTCACCACGGAATGAGAATAAATGTCCCCCCCCCCCCCCCCGACAGGAGGAACCTGGTTTAGGCAAACCGATTTACACGCACTTACCAAAGACTCTGGCTACAAATCCCAGTGGGAACTGTGAGGCAAACACAGTGAGAAACCAGGGGGCGGCATAGAGGCTGGGGCCGATCTCATGCTCCTCGAGGTGATTGTAGAGGTCTCTGTGGTAATCGTGGAGAAGCCTCGAGAGCTGGTACATCTGGATCTGGGGGGACATACAGACACACACACACACACACACACACGCAGGTGTCAGAATTAGATACCTGCTACATGTGTTCAGTTACTTACAGGCCGTGAGAGAAGAATTATTACAATGTTGGATACTCTATTTGGACTATGATAACTGCTGATCTCAACTACTCACTTAGCCCATAAGCACTTCTCGGGTTCCTGGTGCCCAGGAGGCAGTGGTCAGACATAGCCGGGAACACTAATGTTGGGTCTTCTCCTACCATTTCCTTTCTTTCTACTGTCCCCTGTATTCCTTGGCTACTAGAATCTAAACATCTGTCTTGTGGGAACAATTCACAAATTCTCCTACAATATACATTCCTAGCAAAACTCACACCCAGGGGAATTCAAAATGTAAAGCCAGCCTCTCTGCTAAGAGCAAAGTGGGGGCATATGATGATTCTGTGGAAGGATTCTATGATACCTGTTCACTCAGCAAATTCACTCTAGACTCCTCAAGTCACTCCACAGGCAGGACAGGTGTCACTTCTGTAGGTTTATAACATACAAAATATACAGATCCTGGGCAAGTTAAAATAAGACAACTGTTTATCTCAAGATGGAGAAAATAACTTCCAAAGGGTCTCGTCTTTAGACAGTGCTATGGTTCTGGCAGGAAGCCCATGATGGGTCCCACGGCTTACAGGGGTCCTAGCGTCAGCCTGGGTTTGGGCAGTCTGGTGGCCTGAGCCCAAAGAAACCACCATCCAGAGAGGGTCAAAACCCCACTGAGATGCTTTGGGTTGGACACATACTGCCCAAACTGCCAAAAAAAAAAAAAAAAGAGAAAAAAAGCTATTTCTAGGGACATAGACAACATAGCCCTTAAGGTACCAGCTATGGCTTTTCTGGATTGCAAAAAATCTAGTCACCAAAACTAAAAGCCCAATGAGAGTCAGGTGTTTCAATATTAAATTAACTTGAACATGGCACTCTCCTAGATGGCAGGTGCACCTATATTAAAGCCAATGGGGGAGAACACAGAAAGAACCTGACAGTATCTGTGATGTTATGTGGGTCAAAATTTTTTAGTTAATGAAATCGCTTCTGGGATCCCTGGGTGGCTCAGTGATTTAGCACCGCCTTCAGCCCAGGGCCTGATCCTGGAAACCCAGGATCAAGTCCTACATCGGGCTCCCTGCATGGACCCTGCTTCTCCCTCTGCCTATCTCTGCCTCTCTCTCTCTCTCTCTCATGAATAACTAAAATCTTTAAAAAAAATTAAATCACTTCCTTATATGAGACTCATGTTCATAGGATTCATATTCACTGATGGAGGTAAAAGGAGTTTTAACCACCCAATTTGGTACTCTCAAAGAGTCCTTGGCTCTAATGCATCCCTTCTTGAAAAAAAAATACTTAGGCTCTGAAATCAGAGTAGCTTGCTGGTAAATGAACATGTATACATGCAATCCAACATTTAGGAATATTCCCAAAGCAGGATCCAGAGCTCTCCTCACCTCTGAAAGGTGGCAGAAGCAGCACCCGGCACACACTGCTCTTTGGCTTTCCTTTGCTCTGACCTGCCACTTGTTTGTTCAACAAATACTGACTGGGTGCCTACTTCATCCCAGGAACTGTTCTAAGAACTAGAGACGCAGCTCAAAAATAGGTTTGATCCCTCCCTTCTTATGATACATGCTAAGGAAAGTCAGAAAAAAAAATTTTTTTTTAAAAAGTCAAAAAATAAACAGGTAAATGAAATGAGGAAACAAGATAATTTCAGGCAGTTAGCGTTTTATGCCAACAGAAATGAAACAGGATAACATGATACTCGTGCCTGGGATGGAATCTGAGGGGAAGGGAGGCATATGTCAGGGTGGTCAGAAAGAGCTTCTCCCAGGATTTGGATATTTGAGCTGGACCCTGGGTGACAAGGGCTAAGGGTGGCCTGAGGGGGATCCCTGGCAGAGGAAGTGACAAATACAGTGGGAGGTAGGAATTGGATCATCTGAAGATGGTCTGACGAAGGGTAAGGGAGGGTCCTGGAGTCAGACAGGCCTGGGTTTCAACCCCAACTCCGCCACTTGCTAGCCGGGTAACCCGAGTTAAGGTAAGTCTGCCCATCTATAAATTGAGCTGATCAATAACGTCATCCTGAGGGTTACTGAGGCGATAAGTGCAATATGAAACACCTGGCCTAGTGCCTAGCACAGGGCTCAGCAATGACAGCTACTCCAATGTTAACCAACAGTGGGAAAAGTTCCTGAGAGAGACCGGGAAAGGGGTCATAAACATTTTTGGCATTTGTCTCTAGCAAATACATAAGGAACGCTCTCTACCTGTAAAATAATCATGTCCGGCCGATACTGTTTGCGCAGTCCCATTTCAAACATCAGAAACTTGAGCATGTTAAATGCCTCTTCCTCACCCATGTGAAGCAGCAAAATGCCTGCTACAAAGCTGAGACCTTGGCAGTATCCTACTTCCTGGTCTAGAAGCGAGTAGGCCTTCAGGATGTTGTAAAGTGACAGCTGCCCTGCTCCGAGCTGGGTAGAGAAGTACGGATGCGTTGGAAAGGTTCGCCCTGCAAAAACAATGCGTGTTAGCTGTAATTTAAAAAAAAGAAAGCCTACTGAACCAGAAATCGGATGTGCTTCAGGTGAAAGAACAGATCTTAGGAAGCTGGATCTTAAATCAGCTCTGTAAACCAGGCAGGTGGTCGTTCTTAGGATAAGGTTGGCAATGAAAAATTGGCAATTATTTATGCTTTTGCGGTGGTGGTTCCAGTGAAAGAAATTAGGGCTATCTTTGGTCCTGCAGGTATCTGGAGTCCAAGCTCCAACAAAAAGAAAACTGCCAACCCTCTCAACATAAGTCTCCTCTCTAGAGGAGCTGAGAGCTGTGGGGTTTTGCAGCTGCCCTGTCCCACACCACCTGTGTGCAGCCAAGGCCTCAGGGCGCTGCGGACACCCCCTCCCCCCCATCAGCTTTTCCCGGCCTGCACGTATTCTGCCTGCAAATGCTTCACACCACATGCGTATTTCTGTACTTTTAAACCACAGGCAGGGCTTTGAAACAGCAGGTGTTTTCTTTTACACAAAACAGTTACCTTCCAGAAAGAAGTAAAAAAAAAAAAAAAAATTTAAAACCCTCAACATCCTGATTATTTTCACAAAAAGCTGGTGTTCAGATAAGGTTTAAAGACTTCTTTTGTCTGGGAGGCTCCTGTGACTGATCCCTGTCAAATCCCAGCTCACCCACCTCCCTCCTGGAATGTGCCTGAAGGGGAAATGTGTTTTCAGGGCAAAAAGTACTTGTGTGAGAGAGGAAAGGTCTAGAGCCAAGCCAAGGGCCAAGCTCGGACTCAGGTAAGAATAATGGCCTCGTCTGGATCAGCAAGTCTGGATCAGCAATGCGGAAGGTGATCTAGGCCACAAGCTAATTGTTCACCTTAATTATTCGGCCTCAGGAAAGGGAGGGACAACGCATTCATACGTTCTTGCTCAGCCGTAAGACAGCATTTAATCAACCCGGATCTGTTTGACCTTGATTTAAGAGGCTAGCAACCATCTGACTACTTTCTGGACTTCTTGTCCTGCGCCCATTTCTTGCCTGCTCTGCCTCTTCCCCCAACAAGATGTCCCCAAACGCACCCTGAACATGTCACCCCCACTGCTAGAAAGCACTCAGTGGCCCTCGGTGCTCCAGGAACAAATTCTGCGCACCCAGCAGGGGAGCTCTGCACACCTCCTCACCTCCTCTCCCCCAAACCCCAGCCTCTCCTCCGGGGCATAGCCTCGGGGTGGCGCAGGGGGTGTTTGGAGGCTCTGCATGGGGTGTGTGTGTGTGTGTGTGTGTGTGTAACTGCGAGTGCCTGTGCATGAGCCTGAGAGGGGGTACTTACATCCGTGCCTTTTCCTAGTCTACCATGGCATGTACAGCTCAACCATAATTAAATACTCTCTAGCAGCCACATTAAAAGGCAACAGGTAAAATTAATGTTAAGACCACTTATTTAGGGATGTCTGGGTGGCTCAGTGGTTGAGCATCTGCCTTCAGCCCAGGGCATGATCCCGGGGTCCTGGGATCGAGTCCCACATCAGGCACCCTGCAGAGCGCCTGCTTCTCCCTCTGTGTCGCTCATGAATAAGTAAATTAAATCTTAAAAAAAAAAAATAAACAAATGTGATCTCAACACATAATCAATATGCAAATGACTGAGACATTCCTTTTGCATTCTTTTTTTTTTAAGTTTCATACTAATATGCCTTGGAAACCCAGTGTCCTCTTCACGCTGACAGCACACCTCAGGCTGGAGATGAGCCACACTTCCCGCGCTCAGTGAGCACACCTGACCACTGGACTGACTGCACCCGGGATACCTCTTTCTTCAGAGTCTCACTCCAGCATCGCCACCTGCTTCCCAGCAGCTGGGGCCCTTCCCACCTCTGCATATTCCACACATGCCCCACCCCAGCCTGCCATCCACCCCTCGCTCCGACGTCCTCTGGGTCTCAAACAGGCACAAGCGCAGCACACACCGGCCCCATGTGGGAGGGAAGGCCAGGAGAGACTGGGTCCCCTTCCGACCTGTCAACGTTAGCCCTTCTGCTTACTGGATGCCCTCTCCTAACAGATACTACCCCTCCCGGAAACGAGAGCCAGCGCCCACCGGCCCTGTTTGTGGAGTGGGCATTCCCAGACTTACCTTTACTCTTATGATCATAGCTGACGTACAGCGTTGTTAGTTTCAGGCGCACATTTTGATTCGACAATTCTACACATGACTCAATCCTCACCGAGACAAGTGTCACCATATGACCTTATTACAGTACTATTGGCCACATCCCCTATGCTCTACTTTTCATCTCCGTCACTTATTTTGGGACTGGACACTTCTACCTCTCTCTGAACATTCCCTTCACCTATTTCATACCCCACCCTCCTCTAGCAACCACGAGTTTCTATTTATGAGTCTGGTTTTTTTTGTTCGTTTGTTTTTGTTTTCTGTTTTTTTTTCATATTCCACATATAAGTGAAAGCACATGGTATGTGTCTCTATTTCACTTAGCATAATACTTTCGAGGTCCATCTACATTGTAAACAGCAAGATTCCACTCTTTTTATGGCCAAGTAATATTCCACTGTATACATACCACATCCTTATCCATTCATCTATCAATGGGGGACATTGTCCATTTAATCCTTGCAAGGCTCCCAAGAGAACAAGCCCAGCAGGCTGGGGAGTGACTGGTGCCACTTAGACCACTTGACAATTATAAGATTTGCGGCAGGGCATTCACGGCCTCATGTCCTATATAACCACAATGGCTCTGCGCTCAGAAGGGTCTCGTGCTGGGTTTAATGCTCTGCGTCAGTGTCCTGAAATTCTTCATTTTTGAACAGGGGAGTCTGCATTTTCATTTTGCAACAGCCCTAAAAATTATATACCCTGTTTGAGGCAGGCAGCCCCCATGGTAGCTTCCAGGAGTTGCTACAGCCACATTTCCCATAGCTTTGCCACCAAGCAATATGTTATGAGAGGCCAAATTCCACCAAACATATGACCTTTACTAGCACACTGATGTGAAAAGAGAACCACATAAGAATGTCTCATGCTGTGGCCTCCGGCCTCCAACAAGCACCTCTTGGGAAAGGCTCAGCTGGAGGAGGGTGCTGTCTGTCTGACGGCAGAGCCCAGGCCACCAGTGGTCCCACACAGATGCTCCAAGGGGTGCAGGGACACGGCCCCAGTGGGCGTTGCCTTACATTCTGCTCCAGAGCCACTGGTGGCCAGGCCCCAACACTTTCTGATCAACTACAGATCTTGAATATTATCCAATTCACCAATTAAAAAAAAATTACACAGAGCATCTCTTAGGCTAAGAACAAGCCATTCTCAGATGTACGTTTCAGTGGCAATTGCAGTACTTTAGCAACCCCTTCTGGACTGTGGGTCCTTGATTTAGGGGACTTCACAAAGCCAACCAAGCACTCTAGGTGGGGACAGGCTTTATCTCACAAGACCACAGACCATACATCACACAGATAATACCCCATGAAGCATTTTAGGCAAGTCTTACACAAACAATAACGTCACCCTCGTTTTATTCCTGAGAAAAATGTGGTAAGTGAAAGCATTAGAGCCCTTTAGTCAAACCACCCCGCTAAGAAGTGGCAAACCCAGGATCCGAACACTGGTCCCTGACTCCAGAGACTGAGTTCTCACACTGCAGATGTCAAAGCAAAAGGTATGGGAATTGGGGAAACACAGCTATTACCACCACTCACGTTGTCCCCAGCTCATAGCACCGAGTTGTCAGGAGAGCCAAAGTCCCGCCTTCCTTTTTTCATGGAAAGTTCAAGTCCTGCACCTCCTCAGCAAAGCCTTCCCTTGGGGAGTCCCGGCTCCTCCAACGCAGGTTAGTGTTTTTTTTGCTTTACTTCTCACTCAGTACTTCCACGTGTACCAGTCGTGTCTCCTATATCTGTCCTGGCTGTGTGACCCTGGGCCCTTGGCTAATTCCTCAGAGCCTCCACTTTCCACCTGTGAAAAGGGAGGAGTGTGACTGCATTTACTGGGGGCCGCTGTGAGGGTTAAATGCAAGAGGGTGTCAGACCTGGTGTGACGCCACACACAGCTGGCCCTGAATGAGTAATGGCCACTAGGGCGGGGTGCTCCAGATGACCACCAAGCCAGCTTTCTGAGAAACAGGGTTATCACACAACAACAGACCTGCTCCTTGCACCAAAGAATCTGCAGGCTTAGATGTGGGCTTTTGAAAGTACTCACGTGAGCACAGTAACAGTCATTCCCCTGCCCCTGTACTCAGAGCTCCCTTTGTGACAGGAACTGTGCCACAGAACCGAAAGACCAACTTTTTTTTTTTTTTTTTTTTTTTTTTGCCTTTAAGAAACTCACAATCTGGTAGAAAAAGAAAAAGAGATAAATCCAGAAAATTCAAATATTTACTGACCACAGGACCTGCACAGGGTGCTGGGCACAGGAGGGACGTGGCCCTGCTTGCACAGGGCTTTCACAAGAATAAGAGAGACCATTTCAGATGACTGATGGTGCTAGTGGCTCTCCTCCATCATGTGGTGGTAACAAGCACCAAGAGTAGAAGTTAGAGGTATACAGAAGTACAGTTTACGGAGATGAGCCAGAAAGCCAAGAGGACTGGCCCAGGCACAGGGTAGGAGTCTGGGAAGGCTGCCTGGAGGAAGTGACTCTTCAGCAGAACCAAGCAGGGGAAAGAGGCATGAACAAAAGGAGGGTGGTAGGGAAGCACAGAAGCAGCAGGAACCACATGGGCAAGGCGCAGACTGCTCATAGGCATGGCCCGTAGGTCTGGGGCTGGCTATCATGAGGGAGGATATGAGAGTTAAAAGCAGGGCCTGTAAGCTTGGATACCAGGCTTAGCCTGTGGGCCATGTGAAGGTCATGGAGCCAGCGCAGGCCACCGAGGGGGCTGAGACAGGGGACTCCTCACTAAAGAAAACTCTGAGAGCCAGCTTATGAGACAGCCCAGGACGAGCAGAGACCAGAGGTCAACTGGCACATGAGCCAGGGGACAGTCCTTT